AATTTAAAATGTAGCTCCTACAGATTCATAAATCTCTTACACAAACTTTCTGACTCTTTTAGGACACCTGATTTCTGAAGAGAACAAGGGGAGAGTACAAGAAGCCCCTGATTCTGAAACTCTCATGTTGGTCCCCAATTGCCAGCTTACCGCTGAGTATTTTGAGAAAACTTGGCTTAGCCTCGAAGTTGCTCACCAGCAGGTGCTGCCTTGGCAGGGAGAAGTCCATCCTGACACCCTCCAGATGGCTCTACAAGTAGTGAACATTCAGACCATTGCAATGAGTAGGGCTGGGTCTCAACCATGGAAAGCCTACCTCAGTGCTCAGGATGATACTGGCTGTCTATTCTTAACAGAATTGCTGTTGGAGTCTGAGAACTCAGAAATGCAAATCTCTGTGAAACAAAGTGAGGCAAGAACTGAGACACTGAACAGTTTTATGTCTGTATTAGAAACTGTAATTGGAACAATTGGAGATATAAAATCATAACAGATCGTTGCTGGTTGGCCTCAATGCAATGAATAGCTATCAGAGTTCCTTTGTTTTCCTTATTTTAGCTGCTTATGAGTCCAGATAATATTAGAAGCAAAGGAGAGTTGGAAATACAAAAATCAGGATTCTTGTGGGTGGGATTCATCCCCACCCCCCCATACCAGGGAACCTTGGGGTGCTTAATCACAAAGCCACATCCCCAGCCCTTTTTTATTTTTTATTTTAAGATGGCATCTCACTAAGTTGCTTAAGGCCTGGCTTACCTCAGACTTGTGATCCTCCTTCCTCAGCCTCCTAAGTCACTGGGATTACAGGCATGCACCACAATGCCTAGCTGTTCTCATATTTCTAATCATGCTTTTTAGTCCAGGGTCCAAAGTCCTTTGTGTACTATCTAAAGTACCTCTTTAGTGTCCTGTATCACCATTCCCAAACATACCTTCTCTGACAAACACAAACCACTTTCAGTTTCCTGAATGTTCTTATGTCTGTGCCTTAACACCTGCTTTTATTTCCTGCCTAGAACGTTTCCTCACCCTTGTATCTTCTTTAATTAACACCCACTGTGTCTTTCAGTATTTAGCTGAGTTACTGCCCTTTCACGAAGTATTCCATGAGCCTCACAGCCTACATTTTGTTCAGGCTGTCAGAGTGGCCAGTGCATACCTCTAGCACTGCTACCGTAACTTATCTCTTGTCCTCACTTTATATTTTAATCATACCAATTACATCTTGTACATTGAGACCACTAATACAAAAAACAGTTCTAATAAATAATGGTAAAATATAAATAAGACTAAACTATCCAGTAAGGGGAAAATGAAAATATTGGTTAAGGCCAATTGGGTTGGGATGGGGAAATACACAAATGTTTAGGCTAAAAGGGTCGACAGACATAGTGTGTCTCAGCTGTGACTCTATAGATGTCTAGGCAGTCATAGTGAAAGGAAACATATAATTGTCATCAAAGAGGAAGAAATTTTCCATTTTTAATTTCAAAGAGAAATTTATAGTTTCATTTAGATGGGTACAAAGCCAAATATATATGTGTTTGTATATATATAATATATATATATATATATATATATATATGTATATATAGGACCCTATAGGAAATTAGTAAAACTTTTCTCATGACTTTTTTTTGCAGGAGGGGTACTGGGGATTGAACCCAGGGGCACTTTACCACTGAGCTAAATCTCTAGTCCTTTTTTAAAAAAAAATTAATATTTTTTAGTTAATATTTTTTTAGTTATCAACAGACCTTTATTTTATTTATTTATATGTGGTGCTGGAGATTGAACCCAGTGCCTCACACATGCTAGGCAATTGCTCTACCACTGGGCCATAACCCAACCACCCCCCACCTTTTTAAAAATATTTATTTTTTAGTTGTAGTTGGATATAGTACCTTTATTTTACTTATTTATTTTTATGTGGTGCTGCGGATTGAACCCAGGGTCTCGCACGTGCGAGGCAAGCGATCTACCACTGAGCCACAACCCCAACACCCCCAAATCCCTTTTTGAAATTTTGAGACAGGGTCTCACAAGTTGCTGAGGCTGGCCTTAAACTTGTAATATCCTACCTCAGCCACCTGAATTACTGGGATTATAGGAGTGTGCCACTGCTCCCAGCTATATGTTTTCATTGGGTTCTTCAATAAAATCAGAGAGCATAACTTGAACATGGAATTTAATTAAGGAGTATCTTCAAGGACTTCATATAACATTGCCCAAGTATGTGGTCTTCATCATCCACCTTAATTCCAAGACTTCTACACCTAGATTTATAAATTCCGTGTGCTTCGGATAAATTTTTGCTTGTCACTTTTCTCAACTATGTGTTCTTCACAGGAGTACATAATAGTATTGAATTTTCTAGTAAGAGCCTGAACTTTTTAAGTTGTTTATTAAAGGGTCTTCTCACCCCACTGGACAATTTATGAACAGTGGATGTCTTTCCTTCTGTGTTCATGGTGCTCGCCACATAATATTACTCTATAAACAGTAATTGACCTTAAGTAATTAAGATTCCATTAGTGTTTTGAGATTGCTGCTTTATTATATTATATCAATTGTAGAGAAAATAATGGAATTTCATCTAGACCTGGACTTCTTAAAAGTGGCAGTTTTGACATTTGGGGAAGGATAATTTGTTATGGGAGGATAATTTGCTATGGAAGGATAATTTGTTTCCTGTGCACTATAAGATAATTGTTGGCAGAAACTCTGGGCTTCTACATAATGGATGCCAGTAGACATTGTGTTGTGACAACTAAAAATGTCTCCAGACATTTCTAAAGGAGGGGCAACCCCTAGTTTCAATAATTAGCGAAGGGCTGGGGTTGTGGCTCAGTGGTAGTGCACTCGTCTGGAATGTATGAAGCACTGGGTTCTATCCTCAGCATCGCATATAAATAAATAAGTAAAAAGGCATCTAAAACTAAAAATATATATATACTTAAAAAATTAATGAAGAATTGACTTTTTTCTGTAGCTTGTTTTTTTTTCCATTTTTCTTTTTTAGTTTTTTTTTAACTGGTACATACATATTTACATTGTATATATTTATGATATCATGTGGTGTGTAGTTTGGTTTTAATAATTTATAAACAATATGACCAAAGTTCAAGTATCCTATGAAGTTAATTCTTAAATGTTTCTTGCCCTTAGGAACTGTATTTATCATCTGCATACATGTGGATTTTTGTGGTTTTGCTGTTTAAAAACCCACTAAAGTACTAGGGATTGGACCCAGGGGTACCTTACTACTGAGTGATATCCCAGCTCCTTTGTATTTTTTGAGACAGGGTCTCCTGAAAGTGCTTAAGACCTTGCTAAATTGCTGAGACTGGCATTGAACTTGAGATCCTCTTGCCTCAGTTCCTATCAGTGGGATTACAGGCACACACCATCACACCTAGCTCATACGTCTAATTTGATAGTGTGATGTAAGTGGATGCTTATCTTTTTTAAAAAATATTTTTTAGTTGTAGTTGGACATAATACCTTTATTTTATTTATTTTTATGTGGTGCTGAGGATGGAACCCAGTGCCTCACACATGCTAGGTGAGCACTCTACCACTGAGCCACAACCCCAGCCCCCTTGATGCTTATCTTTAAACATCCTTGAGGGTAGTTGATACTGTGTTCTGAGAATAATAGTCTTCTAATGTTAGCCTAAGTTAATGAGTAATCAGTATGTAACTTATATAATGAGTGCCCAGGAAGACATGGTGTGGAACATGGTAGAGGCAGTCACTTCATGGTTACTGATCATAATTTTATAGTTGTGGACCATGATTGTAATATGTCTCCATTCTCCCTCTTTTTGAATGGGAGTTCTGTTAGAATTATTGTGTCCCTTTCTCAGATATTGGGTGGTTAGGGGACTTGTTTTTTATAGGTTTCCATGCTGAGAAGAACTGCATCCTAGGATCCATCCACATATACATTTGGTGCAAATGACAAGATCCTGGACTTCCATCCAGGATAATATAATAAGAAAAAGTTTTTCCAGGAGGGATATAAATTGTTCTGGCCAGAGGGAGGCAAGAGAAACAAGTAATAATACCAAATTCTGGCTTCACAATTTTTCAGTAATAATTAGGAGCGCAATAGTAAGACTTCAGGGGTGAAAGTCTGTGGGTTGAGGGGAAAGGATAGTTTGGAAGGGTGCTACACTGAAGGCCCAAAGTGAAGTAAACAAAGGATGAAAATTTATTCCACACTGCCCATTAAAGCCTGTCCTGTTTCTATAGCCTTACAACATTGCTTATATGAAATAATGCAAAGGCATCAAGATTAGGTTCCAGAGATGGCATTTTCCATAAGCGTATCAACAGTGAAATGAGGAGTTTGAGGTAAAATAAGTCAATTAGACTAACATTCCCTTTTTTTGTAATAGACTTTGTAATCTAATTCATGAATGCACTTGATATAAGAAAATCACAAACAGATACCGTGTTAGGTAAGGCTTTTCTTAGAAATACATATTGATTCACAGAGTTTTTGCAGTTTTCACTCCACATCCTTAGCCACATGTCAAACCCAACTCAGAAATACAAAACTCTGAGGGCTCTTTTGATGTTAAAGGTCTTAAAACTATTAGTATTAACTCAAGTTTTAGTCTTTTTGTCTTATAAAGAGGATGAGTGATAGATGATAACAAATGAAAATGGCCCTCTAGCTACAAAGGAACTTAATTTCTGTTCCTAGTGCAAAAGCGATTTATGATTTATTTTAAAGATTTTTTAAAAGAATTTAACCTTTTATTTGTTTTTATGTGGTGCTGAGGATCAAATCCAGTTCCTCATTGTGCTAGGTAAATGCTCTACCACTGAGCTACAGCACCAACACTAAAGATATATGTGTGTGTATTTTTTAAGCATTTTTAGGACCAGGTGTGGTGGCACACTCAGTATCCCAGCAACTCAGAAGGCTGAGGTAGTGAGGTAGGAGGATCCAAGTTTGAGGTCAGTCTTGGCAACTTAGACCTTGTCTTAAATTTTTAAAAATAAAAAGGGCTGTGGTTGTAGCTCAAAGTAGAGCTCCCCTGGGTTCAATCCCCAATACCTCAGATGAATAAGTAAATAAAAAGCAATTTCAGGTTCACAGCAAAATTTAAAGTACAGATGTTTCTCATATACTCCCTGCTCTTATATATACAGTCTTCCTCACTATTAACATCCTCAACCATATAACTGTTACAACTGATGAATTTGCCTCATCAATTATCTATCACTTGTCTAGTCATCTAAATTCTTCCTTGTCATTTTTTTGGGGGTGGGGGTGGGTTGGAGGTACAAGGGATTGGACCTAGCAGGACTGAGCCACATCCCCAATCCTTTTTTATTGTTTATTTTTAAGCAGAGTCTCACTGAGTTGCTTAGGGCATCACTAAGTTGCTGAAGCTGGCTTTGAACTTGTGATGCTCCTGCCTCAGCCTCCCAAGCTGCTGGGATTACAGGAGTGCACCACCATGCCCAGCCCTCCTTGTCTTGGCTATTTTAATAAGCGTGTAGTAGTCATTTGTACTTTTAGTGTGGAACAGACAACAAGATTGGCTCTGATTATTCTGAGTAACTGACTTGCTATTTATGCTTGAATTTTATTAGTTGGGGCTGTTAATAATTTTATCAGGTCAGACAGGTTTAAATGATAGGGTTGTTAATAGGTTTGAGTGATGCTTCTAAGATGCAGACCCAAAATCTGGATTTAGCAAAATTAAGAATGCAGCCATCACAGGTAAGTGTCTAATCCTCAGATCTCTTAAAACAATAATGGAATTCAATCCTTCGGGAAAATTCTCTTGTTAGTGAATTTCTGTTCTCTTTCACCTTGGTCAGTAGGCCTTGGGCTAAAAGGAAGATCCTTAACATTTGATGCATACCTGACACTTAAGATAATCCCTATAACATTATTTAATTCTCACAATTTCCCTATGTTTTGTATAATCACTATTTATGATTCATCAAACATTTAAGTTGGGATTTTTTCCACCTCTTAGTCATTATGTGTGCTTTCCCTTCCACCTTAAATAGTCTTAATTTCTCCTTTTTTGCCTGGTGAATCTCCTTCAGAACTCATCTCTGATGTTACTACTCTTAAGGAAGCCTTCCCAATCCCCTAGGTTTGCTTCCCTATTATAATCTCATTTCGTGTGTTATGTGTCATTTTCTGTGTTATTTGTGTCAAGTATCATTTCTTACTACATATAGGTGCTCAGTAAATAATCACTGTATGATTATGTCCAGTAAGTACTATAATCAGAAGTTGAATGTTGATCTCTTCAAAAACTTTCTTTAAATTACAATATACACAAAACCTAACAGGAAGTATTTCTTAATGAAATTACCCAAGAGACTCTTCCTCAACTTGATCTCAGATCTAAATTGGCTATCTAACAATAAAAGTTATTCATTACTCTATGTATACTGGCTAGGGTGTGATTCTGAGCTAAGGAACTGAAAGTCTTCAACAAGACTCCCCAGTTCCATTTGCTAGGCAAATGCTCTACCACTGAACTACAGTTCAGCCCTTCTCTTAAGAGAAGTCCCACCTTTCTGATCAGCTATTTCTAAAGAAAGCAGGTGGAAAAAAGTTTCCAGAACTACAAATTCAGTTAGGAAACTACAAGCTGTGGACACATCTGCTGGTTTACCAGTATTTCTAACTTCCTGTTGAGCTGAAAACTGCTTGTTTTGTGGAAGAGCAAAATTTAATAGCAAACATCTAAAATGAAGAGTCCCAAAACTTTTGAGGAACAAACAGAATGCATCGTGAACACTCTACTCACAAACTTCCTGAGCCCAACATTGCATGTTGCCAACCGGGACCTGGGCTCCATAGACAAACCTGACTCAGGTAAGGCTCCTGACCTGAGATGGTGATTACAATGAATCAGAGAATCTGAGTGTGCTTTTTTAAATTTCATCTTAAGTAAACTCTAAATTTCTAGCAACCCCTGAAGGGAAAGAGATTCTCAGTGAAGGAAAATTTTCTGACTAGCACATTGATAGCACATTGAAGTTCTTGGGGAGAAATTGTTTAAAAGACTAGAGAAGTTTTCCCCTTTGCCCAGATTCCTGATACTTATTCCTTCAAGCATTGTGACCAATTTGTTTCCTCTTTCTTAGGAGAGGCTTGCAGCTTTGATGTGGCTATCATTGCTGGTCGCCTTCAGATGTTGGGTGACCAATTCAATGGAGAATTGGAACCTTCTGCTAAAAACGTCATTGCAAAAACCATTCAGGGACAGGTCAGTTGTTTACTTCTTGCTATTGTTTTTTACTCTTTTCTATTTCAAACCTCCTTTTCTTACTATATAAACTAGGAATGTCCTGTGAAAGATTTGAGGGCTTATATTTATCTAAGGGGATACAGCAGGAAATGCCCATTGCCCATTCTTTTTTTTTTTTTTTTTCTTTTTCTTTTTTTGGTACTGGGGATTAAACACAGGTACACTTTACCACTGAGTGATATCTCCAATCCTTTTTATTTTTTATTTTGAAATAGGGTCTTGCTAAGTTGCTTAGGGCCTCATTAAATTGCTAAGGCTGGCCTTGAACTTTCAATCCTCCTGCCTCAGCCTCCTGAGTTGCTGGGATTACAGGTGTATGCCACCACACCTGGTGCATCCTATCAATTGACACAAGATTTTATTTTGCCCCATTTTATTTTGCTTTTCCACTGTGAAGTTTACTCTTTTCCCCTGTGTAATTAATAAGTTTTATAAAGAGGTACTTTGCAACTATGTAAATATCCTATAACCCATCAAAATTTCAATCTGTTTACTTTTATATCATTACAACTTATGAATTTCCACATTATTCAAATATCCACATTACTCAACAGGAAGTTATCATCTGTTACTATCATTATTTAGATGCTCAAATTGTCTCGTATTTCTCTAGTGAGAGTCCTTTTGATTAGGACCATGACTCTTTTCTGTGTACCATACTTTGAGTACTTCTTTAATTTCTAGTAGAAGATCTTTACTTTCCATGCTGTCTGGAGTCATCCATTCTCCAGGGAGCTGTGTTTTCTTTTAATGAAAAAACATGTTCAGAAACTTAGATCTGGGTCCCCTTCCATGTGATTCCCTTCTTAACTTGTTTGGACTCTTGACACCTTCCTCTGACCACTGTTAGTTCCCCAAACCCCAAAAGGCCATGTTTGGCTCCACCTAATGGCTTTTGGATGAAGTCATTTGGAAAGGGGAAAGGAAAGATGAAAAGGAAGAGCTTTGTTTCTTTTTTCTTTTACTTTAGAGTTGCCTAGAATTTTCTTAGTCATGCAAACAATACCTTTACAGTTTGGCTTACTGTACTTTCATGTACTTAATATTTTTCTTTCAAAAGTCATTTTTCTTTCATTTTATTCATCCTAAGCAATCTGAAACCATGGATCTGATGGGCTATTTCCATGTTTTTCTAATACTCATTAAAATGTTAAAAGGAGAAAAGTTTATCCATCTGTCCCCTAATATTACTTCAGGTATCACCAGTGGCACATTGGCCACTCTTTGGGAGGCACTTTCTCTACTGGATTCCTATATCGGCAGTCTCCTGTACTTTTTGAGTGATGTACTCTACTGATAGATCCTCTCTCCTCAGGTAGGAGCTGTACTTCAAGACACAGTGCAGTTCCTCAGCAAGGCCTGGTGTGCTCAAGATTCCAGCATAGTTTATGAGAGAGCCTTTCTGGCAGTGTCAGTGAAACTTTTTGAATATGTGGCCCATGTGGCTCCTGAAGTGGTGAGACAGATGGCTGTGCCCATGACGAGTATGATCAATGGGAACCAAGCCATCCGAGAGTTCATTCAAGGCCAGGGGGGATGGGTAAGTATGTTGGGGCCCCTACCTTTGCTACGCACCTGCACTGTTTGGTATTAATACCTGGGACTCTAACTATGACCCTTTTTGTAAATTGGAAACCAAGCCAGAAAACAGGCCTCCCAAGTTGGCTGAAATTGTTGCCATGGGAAAGGGGAGTAGAAGAAAGCTCAGCCTGTGGGGGTTGGGCTCCAGAGTCATATTGCCTAAAGTGCTGTCTACAGACTCTAAATTCATCTCCACTCCCTTCCAATAATCATATACATGAAGTATACTGTTGGTAGAGTTCTAATCTCTGCTTGGCTTCAGTCTGTTCCCTGGTGAATTTCTGGGTCTTTTTTTTCTAACATCCTTAAATGTGTTTTAAGGAAATTCAGAACTTTAATATTATCTAACAAAAAAGCAGTTTATCTGTTGTAGTGGTAACTAAAAGACATTCTAAGCCTATGTCTTAGTACTTGTTGGAACCTCTGCTGTCATAGAGTGTTTCTCTATTTCTAGGATGTGGGGTGAGGAGCAGTGTGTGTGGGGTGCCTATAACCTCAAGAATTTGGGAGGCTGAGGAAGGAGAATTGCAAGTTTGAGGTCAACAAGAGCAACTTCGTGAGACACTGTCTCAAAATAAAAAATAAAATTGTAACTCAGTACAGCACCCCTCAGTTCAATCCCCACCACCAAATAAATTTTTAAAAATTAAAAAACAAAATTGTTCCCTGGATTATCTATAGACCATTCACTGGTTTCTTAGGAAGTTTTTTTGGGGGGTGGGGGAGATTGGGATTGAACCCAGGGGTGCTTAATCACTGAGCTACATCCCTAGCCCTTTTGATTTTTTATTTTGAAATAGGATCTTGGTAAATTGCTTAGGCCCTCACTAAGTTGCTGAGGCTGGCTACAAGTTTGGGATCCTCTTGCCTTAGCCTCCTGAGGTTCTGGGATTTACAGGTAATGCACCAAACTCCTGACACTTAGGAAGTTTTTAAAGACCATTCTTTGACTGTAGGATTTTCACTATTCTTCCTAGGAAAATCTGGAGAGCTGAAGAAGTGGAATTATTCCCCAGACCAACATCACTTCCTCTTTGACTGAACAGGGACTGATTTCTGGCAATTAAAATGGACAAAAAAAAAAAAAAAACTCGCTTCATCTGGCAGAATTGAACTTAGCTGAATAAGTAATTTTCTACTGATTATTAAAGTCAGGAGAAACTCCCAAAAGCCTGTGGAGATTTTATACTTTCTTTCTTTACATGAATTTTAATGAGATTTTGTCGAAGCAGAGACCTCCAGACATAAAGTAATGACTTGTTATGAGTAAATTTCTAGGCAACAGGACAGGCCTTTGCTGGAGATTTTGGAGGAAACAGAGAACACTAGAAATTATTCTTTCAGATTTAGCCCTGTATTTTGGTAAGGATCTTGTCTACTAATTTTGCAATCTAAAGGGAGACTTTTGGTTGGAAAATCTTACATTATATCAAGTTGATTTTCTCTCAAATTTATCCCTAAATTTCATGTTAATTTCACCTGAGCAGAATTAATTTTATGTATTTTAGAGGCTGAAAGCCAAAAATTGCAGTTTGTTCATCTAGCTTTTTACTAGAAAAGGTCAAAGGAAGATTAAAAATTACTGCATGTTTATTGCCACAGGATGTAGGAAGTGCCAACCCACATTTAGGACTGTAGCGCCACCCCAGTTTAGATGAAGCTAGTTGCTTACCACAGAGTTTTTGTTTGTTGTTTTCTGTACTGGAGATTGAACCCTGAGGTGCTTTACCACTAAGCTATATCTGCAGACCTTTTCATTTTTTGAGCAACTAAGTTGCTTAGACCCTCACTAAATTGCTGAGGCTAGCCTCAAACTTGCAATTCTCCTGTCTCAGCCTCCTGAGTTGCTGGGATTACATAAGTGATCCAATGGGCCTGGCCAGAGTTTTTAAAAGTATGTTTCACCTAGCACTTGTGAGTCTTATTAAATTACTGATTCCCAAGTCCCACCTCTAGAAATTTTGATTTTGTAAGGAGTGGAGACTGGGGCCTGGGAACCTATCATTTCAACTCCATAGGTGATTCTAATGCACATAGAGTTTGAGAACTATCACTTTAGAAAAAAAGTTGAAAAATTACAAACCATAGGCCAAATCTATCCTGCTCTTTTTCTTTCTTTCTTTTCTTTTTTCTTTTTTTTTTTTTTTTTTTGTAAATAAGTGTTATTGGAATGTAATGTCACTCATTTGTCTATATAGTGTCTGTAGCTGCCTTAACACTACAACAATAGAGTTGAATAGGTAGGGCAGACACCATGTGGCCTATCGAGTCTAAAATACTTACTAGCTGACTCTACAGGAAAAGTTTGCTGATCTCTGCTCTAGAGCTAAATGAACATTTCTTCTGGAGTAATTTTAAGCTTTGTTACAGTTCTGATAATTTCTATAAACACAGTTGTAATTAGGAATTAAACTCAAAGTTATTAAGCCCTTTTTTCAGAACTTAGTTTGAAGGTGTCTTATTTTTGTTTTTTTTTAATCTTTTTTTAGGTACCAGGGATTGAACCCAGGGGTGCTCAAACACTGAGCCATATCCCCAGTTCTTTTTATTTATTTTTTTTAATTTTGAGACAGGGTCTCACTAAACTTCTTAGGCCTTGCTGAGTTGCTGAGGCTGGCTTTTGAACTTGCAATTCTCCTGCCTTAGCATTTTAAGCCTCCGGGATTACAGGCATGTACTACCATGCCCAGGAGAGAGTCTTCAGTCAATCAGCAAGCTCTGTGGTTCCTGAGTTTCTGATTAAAGGTATATATTTCTTTGGCCTTACAAGCAAAAGTGATTGTAAGTAAAAATTATTCTATGATCTGTGTGTCTCACAGTAGTCCTTAAAAATATAGTCAATTAGTAGGCAGTCATCAGCTACACATTCTAAAACAACAACAACAGACTATTTACTTGAATGTCAGGAAGAAAATACTGCTATATGTACTTATTAAATCAGGTGTTAGTGACTGGCTGAATTTTACCAAAGCTAACTATTTTCCCTCCCTCAGTCAGCCATCTCTCTGGCTTTTAAATGCAGAGAAGTAAATATACGAATCTGTTAATATATTTTTGCTTTTCCAAGTAATACTTATTTTTTTCTATTCCTGGGAAAAAATCACAATAGGTTAATAATCCAGAGACAAAAATTTCTTTTTTCTTTTTAGTAGAAATTAGCCATGTTTACTACCACCTAAGACAGTTGATATATATCTAAGTCCCTTATATAAAAATCAAGATGGTGAGTTTTGTGGTATTTGACCTCTTAGGCAAAAGCATAATATTTTCACTTTGACTAATGCTGTTTATGAAATAAAATTCTTCTGTCTATGCATTTGAACTCAGTTTTAGCAAGTGCAATCTAAATTGGATAGTAAACTGGGCATGGTGGCACATGTCTATAATCCCAGTGGCTTAGGAGGCTGAGGCAGGCTTTTGCAAGTTCAAAGCCAGTCTCAGCAACTTAACAAGGCCCCAAACAACTTAGTGAGACCCTGCTTCAAAATAAAAAAATAGAAAGGGCTGGGGATGGGTCTCAGTGGTAAAGTGACGCTGGTTTCAATCCTGGTACCAAAAAAAAGTCAGGCCAGCCCCTCCTTTTTCTTTTTTCCCTCTTATCATACCAGCTCCCTATTTCATCCTGTTTTGTCCCATAAAACATCAGACTGTGAATTTAGTTCCAATTATACTGCAGTGTATTGAGGTTAGAAGATACAGTGCCCCTTGAGATTATACCAGGCAAGTGGGTCAAGCAGCTCTGCTTCATGTTGCGTCTGTTGCTAGGTCATCCCATCTTAGGAAAGCTTAAGTGATTGGGCTGCTGGAAGAAGACCTTGTCTAGCTCAGAGATGACGAATGCCTTCCGATTGCCTAATTTTAACAATTTAATTTCACTGTAGGGTAATTATATGACTTTGGGCAAGTGACCTAATTCCTCTGTGCCTTACTTTCCACATCTGTAAAACAAAGATTATTTAGTAACTACTTCATAAGAATATTGTGAGGGATATATGAAACAATATACTCTGTAAAGGGCTCATCTTAGTACCTGGCGTAATTTAACACTATACTGTTAGCAATTTGGAACCCCTGTGATTTGGAGTTCCTAAGGTTCTAGATTGGCTTTTTTTTTCCTCCATTAATTTTGTCTCTCACATACGTAAGTCAGTCTTAGAGCTTCACCTTTCACTCAATGTGAGTGATTCCTAAGTATGATTTATTTCTCTTCTTCTCAAATCCACAAACTAATGCTTATTTCTGCATGCCTTTCTTATCTCATACTCTCCTATATTGCTATCCAACTGGCTCAGTCATTTTTACCTTTTTCCCTCTTTCGTCCTAATCATCCAGTTAATCTTCCTCATTTATTCCTTCCTGTCTTCCCTTATAATATGTGGGTCTCAGAAAGCATTACTCACTGTTTTTTGTTTTGCTTTGTTTTTTAACCAGAAAAAAAATCCTAATAACATATAAAATGTTGCTGAAAGTATGCCCAGCAAAAGGAGGCTTTTTTTTTTTTTTTTAAAGGAGCAATCAAGAAACTTTCCAGGACTGGATTGTGGCTCAGTGCCAGAGCACTTGCCTTCCATGTGTGAAGCACTGGGTTCAATCCGCAGCACAACAAACAAACAAACAAACAAATAAATAAAGATATTGTGTCCATCTACAACTAAAGATAATATTAAAAAGAAAAGAAACACTTTCCAGAAGCATTAGTTTGTTTCCATGCTCTTAAAATCCTTCAGTAAAACTTTTTAGGGTAATTGAGTATGTTTATTATCTTGATTGAGGTAATGGTTTCATGGGATACATACATGTCAAAAGTGTACAGTTTGACATGTGTAGCTTGTTGTATGTCAGTACTACTTCAATAAAGTTGTTTTTTAAAAAGAAATTTGAGGTTGGAATGTGGCTCAGTGGCAGAGTACTTGCCCAGCATGTGTGAGGCTCTGGGTTCTATTCCCAGCATGGCAAGGTTCCTGGCTTTCCACCAGCCTGGGATTCAAATCCCCCCAGGATGTGACCCCAACTGCCCTTTCTAGCCTCTACTGCTTTCTGTTTCATATTTCTTTTTCTCATCTCAACGTACTGAAATCTTCAAGACCAACTCAATGATCACTTCCTCCATAGAGGCTATCTAGATAACCCCAAAAAAGTGATCTTTGGCTCCTTACACTTATTTGCATCACTTTTATGGTTCTTTTCACAAATAGCCTTCAATTGTAGTTATTTGTATATTTGTTGTTCCTATTAGAAAACAGGATCCTTAAAGGGTATTTAGTTGTACTCTTCTCTAACACCTCTCTCCTCCATTCTCTCACATGTATATGGATGTTATAAATCTTCATTAAATGAATAAGTGATTAAAATGAAGCTTCAGGTTTGATTATACATTGAGCAAGATTCAAAGCCTCACCAAGAGTCCTGACTCTTTATTTTTTAAAGGTTAAATTGCTTCAATTGCAAGTTATGAATTGACTTTTGCCTCTTGGGGTTTTTTGGAACCGAGGGCAGAGTATGATTCCCTATGTGGAATATGGGAAGGTGACTCTGAAGTCTGTAGCAGGTAAACTGAAGAGCTTGATGAGGTTTCAAAATGTTGTCATGATAAACAGCAGATTAAGGGACCTTTCTTCTGAGGACAATGTGAAGAACACGACAAATTAAACAAGCTTCATTATAGGTATTTTATGAGTCTCTTCTTCATTGCTTTTGATATACCTGAAATTATAGGTGGCATTTTGCATATCCTCTTTGGAACAAGTTTCTCTTTTAAAATAAGTCTGTTCTGGAGCTGAAGGAGGTCATTTCTTTCTGGCCTTTCTGGCCTTTCTGAGCTGGACTCAGAGCCTCAGTAGCCCTACCACTTGGGCAGCAGCATTTGGGGAAGTGCTCTTCGCCAAGTTGCTGGGCCTCCCTGTGGTGAAGGCCCATCTGCTCCTGGCATAGTGAAATGGCCCAGCCCGAGACTGGAAACCTAGACTGTGCCAGCATAGAGACCTGGAGTAAATAGTGTAATGAAAAACCAAGATGAAGTGGATTTTTCACCAAAGCCGAACCACTTAATATAGCATACTTTATCACAACAAATTTCTTTTAGGTATGCTCAAGACATGTTGAG